TAATTAATTTGTATTATTTCTTTCATTTGTTTTGCATCTTCACATGTATTTATATTTCTTATATTTCTATACATTTGTTTTTGAATATATATTAATTGAATTAACTACATCATATTTTGATATATTTGATTCATACAAGCAACAAAAAGTAGATGGTAAATAAAATATTTTATATTTTATAGTGTTTAAATTATTATTTTAAATATTTCTTCAAAAAAGATAGAATTTATGAAACAATACACAAATAATATAAAAATAAATAACAAAAGAATGAGAAATTCACATCAATAAGAAATATAAATGATAGAAGAATGAATGAAAATAAATATTATTTATATTATAACAACAATTACATGATATGAATTATTTCATTCATCACTTCATTCTTTTTCATCATCATAATTACTTTATCATTAATTCAAATAGAAATAAACAATGATATCATAATAGATTCAAATATCACAATAAAATACATTGAAGATAAATAAATATCAAAATAAAGAATAAAACAGATTGGAAATAAATAAAATGATAGAATAGTGAATGTAATTCAATTAAATGAAAAAAATAATGAAATAGCAATAAATGAAATAATAATAAATGAATTATAAATGAAATTAAAATAAAATAGAGAAATAACATTATGATGAAATAATTCATTTAATATCACTATTAATTTAAAATACAATAAATTAATGTGAATATTATATTTATTAAATTACAATTAAATTCAAATATGATATTACATTCATTTATATTAATAAATATGAATTATACATTGTTTTATATAACGAATTATAAAAATAAATTAAAAAATAAGATTTCTAAATTTCAAGTGATTGAAATAAAGAAAGATAGAAATAAATACATTACATTCACTGATTTATTCATTTCTTTATTATTCACATTATCAAATTATTGATATATTTATTAATTGAATATTTATCATTTGTAATATTTCATTTCTATGATATTTATTCATTTTCATATTCATCAAATAAATAATAAAAGATAATTTATTGAAATATTAATTGTTTCTTATTAATAATTTATATTAAAAAAATAAAAAGAAGAAAAATCGAATGAAGATTACCTTAAAAATAAATGAAGTGCAAACTAAAAATAAAAAAGAACTAATAAATAATAAAATAATAAAGAATGAATGAAAATAGGATATAATGAAATAATGATTATCTCGGGTACGAAAATTAGCAAAGAAATAATGCATCTAAATCATTTATAAAAATGAAAAAAAGATGCAAAATAATTTGCATCATTAGATTTTTCCACTTTATTATATTTTACTCATAAAATAAATAAAAAGTATGATAAATATACAATCTGTATATATTTATGTTTATATTTTATAATCATTTATATTTTATTTTGTATGAAATATTAATGAAATAGATTATTTGATTATTCATATTTATTTGTATTATTTATATGTTATTTATCTATCGTATTTTTATATATTTATTTTTATATTTATTTCTCTGTTTATATTATTTATATCATTGTGTTATTCTTATTATCTATATATTATTATATTATTCTTATTTTATTATTTTTATGTTTATATTCTTTAGATTTTCTTATTGTTATTCTTTTCTATTTAGATATATTTGTTTATTCATCTTATTCATCTTTTATATCTATTTTCGATTTATATTTATTTTCATTTTATATTAATTCTCTTTTGATTTATATTAATATTAATTTTATCTTTTATACTTTGATTTTATTATTATATCATTGACTATCATTTCTCCTTTTATTTATCATTTATTCTTATTATTCTTTTGTTTTTATATTCTATATCATATATTCATATATTCATATCATTTTCATTTATATTTTATCACTTATTATATGTTATAATAACATAACACATATGATTGAATATATAATAAACATCATGATGAAGTTATACATATAAATAATAAACATAAAAAAGAGTAAAATATTTTCATCCATAAAATAATATTAATTATTTTGAATCATTAAATCAGACACTTTTTATTGAATATTTCTAATTTTTACAATAAAAATACACTTTTTATTTCTTCTTTTCTTCTTTTATTACATCTTTGTGATTTATTATTTTTATATTCTTCTTCTACTTTCTTTTTATTCTTTTATATATTTAAGATCGAAGGTGGCACGTCTGAAACACCACACATAAACCCTAGTACAAATTCATACTTCGACTCTCCCAGTTATTATCTGGTTATGACGGTGCCTTTGAATTAGGAATGTATTAGGGAATGCTGCAAAGGGTGCAGCAAGAGAATACAGTAGAATATTACATGGATGTAATATAAGAATCTACTGAAGTGTGGGTATGACTAAAAGAAGATTAGTCAAAGGAAGACTAAAAGAAGATTAGTCAAAGTAATACAGTAGTAATAAAATGATTCCTTCTTCCATTCATAAAATAAGAAAAATGAAATTCCTTAAAATTAAGGCAGAAAACAAACAAAGGCTTAAAAAGAAGAAATAAGCAGAAGAAGTTTGAAAAACCTTAATAGGAAGAAATAAAGGAAAGAAGTGCTTTCCTCATTTTGCAAGAAAAACATAAAGAATAGGTTTAACAAAGAGATTACTCTTTTTTAATAAGCTCAGGGATGGGATTAGTCTCCCCTGAGCTAGGAAGAATAGATGAAAATTCTATTAATACTTAATTAATTACTTTTTCTTTTTATAATTACAAAGTGTGATTTTTATTCTTGGTTTTTTGTTTTAAATGATAATTGAGGAATTGACATAATCAATTGTTAATTATTTATTTTTGTCATTAATCACATTAAAAAATAAAAACAAAATAACATAAAATTTTGTTAATTAGAAAGAGAAAAAAAAAATAAAAACAAATTCTATAATGTATAATAAAATATATTAAAATGAACTAAAATTCAACCCTTAAAAGAAAGAACTGAAAAGAAAATAAATTAAATAATGTCTCTTGAAGCTTTTACTGTTTCTGCTGCTGCTCCTCATAAATGCATTGCACCAGAAGGAGCATATTTTAACCTTAGACATATTACCCTTGAAGGTGATTCTAAAACACAATTATATTTGAAACATGACGAGGATGAAGTTCTTGTTTGTACTTTATCATCTGCCATTCCACAACACTCTGTTGATATTCCATTATACCTTGATGAAGTTACATTTGTTGTTAAAGGTAATGGAACACTTCATGTTGTTGGTAATTTCGATGAAGTTGAAGATAACGAATTTGAAGAAGACGAAGAAATGGAAGAAGATATGAGTGAAGGAGAAGAAAGTGATGAAAGTAATGATGAAAAAATGGAAGAGAGAGAAGAAAGTGATGACGAAGAGGAAGAAAATACTAAACCAATGAAAGTAGTTGTTCCAAAGAAAGAAGAGAAAAAACCACAACCACCAAAGAAAGAAGAAAAGAAACCACAACCACCAAAGAAAGAAAGTAAAGTTCAACAACACCAACAACCACAAAAGAAAGAAGACAAGAAACCACAACATCAACAACAACCAAATCAAAAACAAGGAAAGAAAAACAATAAAAAGAATAAAAAGCATTAAAGAAATAAATTAATTGATTAGATTGTTAGAAAAAAATAGGTTTAAAAATATTAAAACAAAAGAAAAAGAAAACAACAATTATCTTTAATTGTAAGCAAGATATTTTGGAGTTGCAGAGAATTTTTGATAACCTTTAATAACTTTTTCTACTGCATCTAAGAAATCTCGTTCAGTAACAACTTTTCTTCTTGCTCTAATTGCAAACATTCCTGCTTCAGTACAAACTGATTGAATTTCTGCTCCAGTGGCATTTGGGCAAAGTCTGGCTAAAAGGTCATAACGAATGTCTTTTGCAACACTCATTGGCTTTGTATGAATTTTAAATATTTCTGTTCTTCCTTCAATATCTGGAAGACCAAATTCAATCTTTCTATCAAGTCTTCCTGGTCTAACCAATGCTGGATCAAGTGTGTCTGGTCTATTTGTTGCCATAAGGACTTTAATATTTCCACGTTTATCAAATCCATCTAATTGATTAATAAGTTCTAACATAGTACGTTGTACTTCACTTTCACCTGTATCATCTTGGAATCTAGTTCCTCCAATAGCATCAATTTCATCAAAGAAAATAATACAACTCTTTTTACTTTTAGCCATGTCAAATAAGTCTCTTACCATTTTAGCACCTTCTCCAACATATTTTTGAACTAACTCTGATCCAATTACTCGAACAAAGGTTGATTCTGTTCTATTAGCTACAGCACGTGCTAATAATGTTTTACCTGTTCCTGGTGGTCCATATAATAATACTCCTTTAGGTGGATCAATTCCTAAATTCTCAAATGCCTCTGGATGTAACATAGGAAGTTCAACAACTTCTCTAATTCTTTCAATTTGTTCTTTACACCCTCCAATATCTTTGTATGTTACATCTGGTTTTTCTTCAACTTGCATAACAGAAACTGATGGGTCAATTTTTGGTGGAAGTGCCATTTTAATTTCATAACGTGCTCTATCTACTCCGACTCTTGTTCCATCTTGAACGGCATCTTTTTCAACTCTATTTGATTTACCAACAACAAATTTTGCATATTCTTTTATAGAAATAACATATCGTGGTTCACGTTCATCTGGCATAGCTTTAATACATCTAGAAACAAGTAATGGTTGTTCTTCCATCAATTTTTTATCAGCATTTAAATCCCATTGAGACACTGGTGCTAGTCCTGTATCACTTTCTTGTATTCCAACTAAATTATGTATTTCTGTTGCAAGGTCTGCAACTTCTTTTTCTAATTGTTTAATTGAATTTGCATATGGACCACGATTATATGCTTTTAAAATAGCAATTTCTTCTTCATCAAGTGTTTTTGGTTTCTTCTCAAAATCTTCTTCCATTAAGTTTCTTTATTCATTTTTTATTAGTTCTTTTTATAATAAATTTATTATAAATTATTCTTTTCTTTTGTTAAAACTTCAATACCTCATTTTTGTTTTATATAACTAAAATAAAAAATGATAAATTCACACAAAAGGGAATTTAACCGTTTTTTGTTTTTTTCGTTGATTTATTTTTTCAGTTGTTGCATTTTGTAAAATGATATTTAAACGTTCAACGATTTCAGAAAAAGAAGGGCGTTCATTAACATTTATTGAACAACAATTATTAATAATGTTTACTAATGCAGAAGGGATTTGACGAATAAATTGAGGAAGAACACAACCACTTTCTCCAATTGGATTAGTGTTAACTAATTGTGTTAAAACATGAAAAACAAGAATTCCAAAAGAATAAACGTCACATTGAGAAGTGTAAGAAGCATCTTTAGATGTAATTTCTGGAGGCATTCTAAAATTTTCTCCTTGGTTTGAGTAAATTGGTTTGGTTACTGTAGCGTCAATACCATATTCACTTACTCTCTCGCAACAACAAATGTTTCCTAATTTACAATTAACATAATCAGTTGGAATAACAGAAAATACAAAAACATTGTCAGTAGAAAGGTCACGATGAACTATTTGTGATTCTTGTAAATAGTCCATTGCTTTAGATACATCAAGACAAAATTTATACATTAATGTTCTATTTATTTCTTCATTTGTTGTAAGATAATTAGTTAATGTCCAATATCGAGGACGCTCAAATATTAATGAATTACTTTCTGGAATAGCATACATAAAAGAAGATATTTGTGCACAACGTAATGACTGATGTATTTTTACTTGTTTTTCAAAAAGTTTCTTTTCTAACAATTAAAATTCTTTTTTTATTTAATTGACTTAAAGAATATAAAAAACAAACCATTTGGTCCATTTCCTATGATTTGACATTCTACCACATCTTGGTCAAGTGTTTTTAATAATTTTAATCTACTAACAGTAAATTTTTTTTCAAGAATAAAATGTTCATTACCGTCATTACATTCTTCAATATCATCTGGTTTAGCTTGAAGATCAAAAGATGTCAATCCTTTTAAAGGAACAACAATTGAAGTGTCTTCACTTTGTGAAACAAAACAAAGTAACAAATCAAATTTTTTAAATGGAATAATAAAAGTTAGAGTTATAGTTACTGTTGTCAAACTGCCATTTATCTCATTCACTGGGTCTTGACTCCACATTATAAGATTTTCTGGTTTTGATTTAACTGCATATATCTCAATTAATGACGCAATAGAACTAAAAGAAGAAGAATTAATAATTTTTTTAATATCTTCTTGTTGTTTTTTATCATGTTTATTAAGGCTTTTAATGTCAATAATATTATATAACTTAATATCACAATGGTTATTATTTTCAAAAACTAATTTTCTGATATCTGGTTTATTTATTTCAACTTCTGTTGAAAAGTGATTGTTCCATTCATTAAACTATTTCTTTAATATTGTTTTCTTTTCTCTTTTCTCATTAATCCACAAACTGAATTCTTTTCTATAGCAAAACTCATTTTATGATTTATGAGATATTTGTCTCTTTTTATCTTTTTTTGTTTTATGTTGTTTTTAATATCGTTATATATAACAATAATAAAAACAAAAAATTATAAAAATAAGTTAACTAGAAATAAAACAAAATTATAACCCTCAAATGACAAGTGCTTGGATGAATTGGGATGAATGGAAGAATACCCAAATCTCTGTCCTTGAAGCTCTAAGAGAACCTAATGAAGAAAAAGTAAAAGAAGCATTAAATCTACTTCTTATATGGCAAACTCGTCAAATACTTCCTGTTCAAATTGAAGCAACTATTGGTGTACTAAATTCTATGTGTGCAAACGTAGAAAATCCACAATTTTTTTCATCAGTTGCTGGATTTACTATTGTTAGGTTTGTTAATGGAATGGTTGATGCACCACAAAAAGCTGGAGGACAACACAGAAGTGTATATCAAATGGCAGTTGAGTTAGGAGTGCCTACTGTGTTAGTTGAAGTAAGACACTCTATAACACATGGTACAGTTCCATCTTCAGAAGAACTAATAGAATGTATTAAAATCATATCAGAATATTTAGTAATTAATTATTGGGAACGAGGAAGTCAAGAAAGTTCACGAATATGGTTTGATTCATTTATAGAAGCTGTTGGAAGAAGAGATAGTCAAAGAATTATGAAAAGTATAAAAGAAGGATCAAGGAATATGACAAGTAGTTCATTATATGAATTGTCAAGTTTAATTGTTAGAATTGGGAAATTACAAGGAGATGAAAGTAAGTGGTGGAAAATGATGGTTACACAAATATGTTCAAGAAGAGGATTTAGTGATGTTTTAATTGTTGGAGCAGCAAAAGAATATTGTAAAGAAATTAAACAAAATACAGAACAAATTGAAGAATGGATTATTTATTGTATTTCTGTATTATCAAGTGAAGTAAATGAAGTATTAAATGTGTTTAAAAGTGAAGGAGTATTATTTGAAAATAAAACTCAAATATTGTTAAAAAAGATTCATGCAATTATTAACGGTGAAATGAAAAAGATTATTGGTGGTTTTATTATTCATGAAAATCTTAAATTTAAAGAAATGGAATGTGAAGAAATTGAACAATTTGTTAATGAAAAAATTCAAATAAATGAATGTGAAATTGGTCAATGGAAAAAACTTGGTGAACTTCCTCAATTTTTTGTTTCGACAGAAAATTTAATAATTGATCCATCTATTTCATTAATGATTGCAAATTGAATTATTCTTTAACTTTGAATATTCTTACTTAGTTCATTCAATTAATTTTTTATTTGTTTAATCTTCCATATCTTCAAGATCGAAGGTGGCACGTCTGAAACACCACACATAAACCCTAGTACAAATTCATACTTCGACTCTCCCAGTTATTATCTGGTTATGACGGTGCCTTTGAATTAGGAATGTATTAGGGAATGCTGCAAAGGGTGCAGCAAGAGAATACAGTAGAATATTACATGGATGTAATATAAGAATCTACTGAAGTGTGGGTATGACTAAAAGAAGATTAGTCAAAGGAAGACTAAAAGAAGATTAGTCAAAGTAATACAGTAGTAATAAAATGATTCCTTCTTCCATTCATAAAATAAGAAAAATGAAATTCCTTAAAATTAAGGCAGAAAACAAACAAAGGCTTAAAAAGAAGAAATAAGCAGAAGAAGTTTGAAAAACCTTAATAGGAAGAAATAAAGGAAAGAAGTGCTTTCCTCATTTTGCAAGAAAAACATAAAGAATAGGTTTAACAAAGAGATTACTCTTTTTTAATAAGCTCAGGGATGGGATTAGTCTCCCCTGAGCTAGGAAGAATAGATGAAAATTCTATTAATACTTAATTAATTACTTTTTATTTATTTTAATCTTCCATATCTTCTATTGTTGGTATTTCTTCACTAAACACTCCAAGAAATTCATTTCCTAAAATTTTTTTATTTTTTCTTGATTTTTTTACTTTTTTACTTGTTTTTTGTGATTTTTTTTGACTAGAAGGATTTGAAGAAATGTTCGTTTGTTGTTTGATTTCTTTTGGAACATTTTGTTTTTGAGACTGTTGAAGAGTAGGATTAGTATTATTTGCATTCATTAAAGATGTTGATGAAGGTCCAAGAGAAGGGAATAAAGGTTCTTTTTTTCTTTGTTTCTTCGTAATAATTTTATCATTATTTCCTAATGACGGGAAATATTTCATTTCTATCTCTTCTTTATGTAATTCATAATCTTCTTCTAAATAAATGTAATGTTCATTCATTCTTTTTAATTCAGCAACTCGTTGTTCTTCTTTTCTTCTTTCTTCTTCTTTTTGTAACTTTTCTATTTTAATTTTTCGTTGACGAGCGTTACTTCTTTTATTTATAATTTGAATATATTTGCTCATTACACTGTTATTTACTAACCCATTCATATCAACTTCAATAAGTTTTATTTCTGTTCCTCTAGGAATGTGCTGATAAGATTTTATTAACTTTCGTTCTCCTACTCCTGCATCTTCTTCATCTATTTGAAGAATTTTTGATGTAAATGTTGGTAATTTCGTTGGATTTTCCATTAACATAGAAAGATTAAATGAAGTTAAATAAATATCTCTTCCAAGCGAGTCTTGATAATAATAATTCCAATCTTTTGGATTAATTGAATATCGTTTTCGTATCAATCTATCATTCCATTCTTTCTTTAAATCACTAAGTTCTTCTTTCATCATATTATAGTAAAGCCTATATTCATCATCTTGTGGTTTCTTCATTTCTAAAATTACTTTTACACTTTCTTTAGCTAATACTGATAGTGGGTCATCTTCTATTACAACATGATAAAATCGTGAATTATTGCATTTTGATGTAGGTACTGATGTTATAGTCTCTCCAGGAACAAGAGATGGGATAGTAAATCCATTAGGAATTTTAAGTAATTGCATTGTTATTTTATCTCCAAGTTGAATGGATGGTTGAATAACAATATCACAAATTGTAAATGGTGAATAAATTAGAGCATTACAAACTGGACATTTATGTGGCGCTGGACATAGCACAAGAAATTGTAATAAACATCTCCAACAATACATATGACCACATGAAGTTAAACGTGGCATCACAACATCTTCTAAACAAATTGGACTATATTGATAAATTGTGTCTCTTAAATATTAATCAAAATAGGTTGTTAACCAAACCATTTCGGAAATTCATTTGTATAATACTTTAATTGTACTGCATCGTCAGAGTATAACAATCCATTTTGTACATTTGATTTACTTAGGTCAGTGTCAGGAAAGACAAAAAACTGAAAACTAATTGGTTACTTAATATTGTGTGGTAGAAAAAAAAAACAAACTGTGAATAGATAAAATGTTTCGGTTCAAGATGGAATCTATGTGATCTCATTGATGAAATATGAAATACTAGAAATTTTGAAGTTTGGCTTTTCTTTTTTTTTTCTCTTTTTTTAGAAAGACAAGTCATATAAACTCTTTTAATTGAATTAAAACTTCTGAAGCAACAACACTAGTTATTTCTTAATACTAATATTATTAAGTTATTAGCCAAAAATTTTATGTTCAAATTTCAACTTTAGTCTTAGTCTATTTATTGCTATGTGGGTATTTCAGTTACAGTTTGTTTGTAGGATCATTTCTATTGGATAAGGTTATTGGTTCATTAATTTCTTAGTTATACAAAACCCACTTGTGTGTTATTTAAAATACAATAAAATGCTAATAAAAGTTAAAATGAAATGACTTAGATATATCAGAGAGTTAAACAAAATAAGTCATAATTAAGTTATTTTATCATAAGAGTGTTTTTAAGAACAAAAATAGAAATAACAAAAATTCAATCATTTTTTTGGTTTTAATTCTGTTTTTTTCTTCAATGCACCTAAAAATGTTATATATGACAATGAGACAAAAAAGAAGAAAAGAACAAACTTTTTACTGCTGCTTTAACTTTTAGTCTCGGTGTATCATCTACAAGGTAAGTGTCAAGATTTAATGACTCTGGAAGTATTATATTTCTGATTGTGTTTCCTCTTACTGTTGATTGGTCTAAGTTAATTGGGTTTTTTCCTTTTTGTGTCATTTTTACAACTTTTAAATGGACGTTCATGTAGTTATCAACACCAACAATTGTTCCAGTGAGTACTGCCCCACTCTTTAATTCAATTGTGACGACTTCATTTGTTAGCCTCATCAAAAATCTTACTAATTTCATGGTTATAAGAAATGATCTTTTTAAGTTCTATTTGAAGATGGAATATCCAAACTACCCATTTTTTCCTTTTTCTGACCCAAATTACTTATCCTATTATCAAATGGGATATCTTCAACCATTCCAATTCTCTCAACCACCACCTCCGCCACCACCTGCTCCAGATAAATCTACTCAACAAATAAATAACCCTCATGAAGACAAAAAGACATTATATGTTGGGAATTTACTTCCTGGAATGGCAGAGGAATTACGAGGATTGTTTGAGGCATATGGAAGCATTGAAAGTATTAATCAACCAAAAGGTAAGAATTTTATGTTTATTCATTTTAGTAAGGAGGAAAGTGCTAAAGAGGCAAAAGAAGAGTTAAATGGGACAACGTATGGAGGTACTACACTGAAAATAGGATATGGAAAAGCAGAAATAAGCACTACATTTGTACCAAACAATCAAAATCAGACTGATTATCAAAGTGAAACAAATGCAAAAGAAAATGAAATCATTTATCAACACCTTAACCAAATATTAAAAGATGAAGAAAATGAAGTAAGTCAAGTTAACCAACCAAAAGAAAATATTAAAAAAGGACATCGTACAAAAGAATATGAAGTTAATAGAGTATTATGGGTTGGAGGATTAAATAATAATGAAATGAAAATATTTTCTAAATTAACTCAATATGGACCAGTTGATAGAATTAGAATTGGAATTAATAATAGATGTGCATTGATTGAATTTAAAAACATTGAAGATGCAAAAAGAGCAATTAACGAAATGATACATGTATTATTTGATGAAGACAAAGTAAAAATAAGATATGAAAAAGATCTTAATTTCCAAAGCAAAACTTGGTTTCCTGATATGCCAAGTCATTTTATTCTTAAAGAGAATGAACCAATTAAACCATTATCAATTGAAGAAGAGAAAATGATTGATGAAAAAACAAAGAAAATTATTGATGAATTAATTCCTTATTTAGATAAGTATGGACAAGAATTTGAAGAATTAGTTATTAAAAAATGTTCTTCAGACCTACATTTCAAATTTTTAAATCAAGAAGAAACACTTGAATTTCATTATTACTTGTGGAAAGTTTTTGAGTTTGAAATGAAGAAAATGAATTTGGATACAAATGTTGTTAATGTTATTGAACCAGTAAAAGAAGATATTCCTCCATGGTTAATGTCAAGTGATGATGATGATAGTGAAGAGAAAAAAGAAACGTCTAACACAATGGAAGAAATGTATTAAAGTGAAAAATAAACAAGACTCTAAAAAAGCAATAATTCTGATTAATTGTGTGTTATAATTAAAATTTTAAATTATAACTATTCTTTTGTGTTAACAACAACTGTTCATTGATTCAGCTTGTCGCATAAATGCTTTTGAAGTTGTTGAAAGATCATTACTTTGATCTATAAGATCATCTAATTTTTCACCACGTTCTAATAATTCATCCATTGCCTTAACTAAAATTTCCTGTGTTTCTGTTAAATCAGTTTGGATTTGTGTTAGTTTATCTCCTTTCTTTGGATCGACATATTGTTGAAATAGTACTGATACAGGTTGATATTTAAATTGTAAGTCGGATTTAATAGTGTTGAAGGAAGGTCCTTTGTATGATTGTCTAAATGCTTGCATCATTTTACTCAATACCACTGTAGCAACACGATCAGGGTATGATTTTGTAGTTATTGCTACAACAGCAAGCTATTAATCGTTAATTTTTCTTCTCTTTTATATAATCTTTTGATGTTCAATGAGTTGACCATCTATTATAAACAAAAGTCATAACAAACTCCATCATTTTCCATATAAACATGTCCTTTGAATGTAGATGGTTCTTGAAGAGTAATACACATTCGTTTATTTGTAATAGCTCGTTGGGCAATTTGACGAGCAGAAAATTTTAATGGTCCTTCAGCATTCATTCTTTCAAAAAATCCCATTTGTGAAAAATCCTCTTCTATTTGAAGAAAGAAAGGTGATTGTTGAGGTGAATTTCTAATGAGTATACCAGCAAAGATCATAAACATATTATCAGTCCATACTGACATCTTTGAGAATGACAAAGTGAGATGATTTGATTTTAAGATCTTATGATAAACAAACGTAATTGTTGATGACATTTTCAGAATAAATACTTTATATCTCATTTTTAAATAAAAACTGAAGGAGGTAGTAGTAATTTGTCATATGCTTTCAAAATAATAACAATGGAAATGTTCATTCTTTAACTTGTTACTTTTCTAAGAAAATTTGACTAAAAAATGAATAAAAAATAATAAAAAAATCTATTTAACCATACCATGTCTCAGTCGAGTATCTTCATTCCTGTAGATGAATTAAAAGCAAAAGAACGTAGTATCCAACAAGACAGAAATAAAATGAGAGAAAACCTCTTAAAAGGACCTTATTTATACAGAAAAAGTCATAATACCTCTTCAGATGAATTTAAGGGTAATGATATGATTACTGTATATATTGCATCTGGAATAATAAGTGTAATGTTTATTTCTTCATTTTATGCATTTATTCATTTACCAATTGTATGGATAATGCCAATTCCATTAACACTCTTTATTCTTATGTCAGTTTCATATTACAAAGCAGTTACAACAAAACCAGGGAAATGTATTAATTTTCAACCAAAATGTTCTGAAGAAGAAAAACAACAAGCAATTGAAAGAGAGACATTTGGAAAAGAACATGGATTTAAAATAGTTGATATTGGATATCCTACAAGATATTGTACATATTGCAAATCATTTAGATCTGAACGTTCTTATCATTGTAAGAAATGTGGGTGTTGTGTATTAAGGAGAGACCATCATTGTCCATGGATTGGACAATGTGTAGGTCTAAACAATCATCGGTATTTTATGCAATTTCTTTACTATCTCCCTATCAATGGATTTACTGGAATGATTATTCAAATATGGTATCTTGTCAAACAAATGCAAACAGGACTTGGTGACCCATCACCAGGAAATGTATTTTTTATTATTTTTTCATTAATTAGTGCAATGATTATGTTTGCAATGAGTTGTGCTGTTGCATCTCTAACATACCATTATTCATATTTACTCTTAAAAAATATGTCATCAATGGAAGACATTGAACTTGTTCGGTATGAATGTCTTTCACATCATAAAGTACCCCATTTTCCAAGTTATGACATTGGGGCATTGAAAAATTGGCAATCAATCATGGGAACATCATTTCTCAGTTGGACTTGTCCATGGTATAATGAAAATAAAGAACTAAATCAAAATTCATTTACTGAAATATCCTTATCATCAATTCATATTGACTAATCAATGTTGTAATAAAAGAATAAAAGTTAATTTAAGAATGAACTTCATCAAATCAAGTAAAAATTCAATCAAGTAAGTATTATACAACTTTTAATTTACTAATTATTGTTGGATTTTATTTCCTAAAACCCAAAACGAAAAGAATAGCAAAAAAAATTAAAATTAGTTTTGTGAGTCAATAAGTCTTTTTGTTTCTTCATTTTGGGAAATATCTGGAGATTCAATTTTTTTATGGCGTTTATTACACAAATAGAAATCAATATAGTCATACTTGATTTGCATAATAACAAGTAATGAGTGCTGAATTAAAGAAACCACAGAAGAAAGAATTGTTGTGACATGTTGTTCAGTAGAGAAAAACATAAAGCATAATACAACTAGAAAACCAATTGTTTGAAAAGTATTAGCACTTAATGACATTGAACCACCACTTTTTGTTGAAAAAGTTTTCCAAAGTTGTGGAAGATATTCAACGAACGTTATAACTGAAGAAAGGATACCGAAAACATAAGCAAAATAATAAGTAAATGGTTCACAGATACCGATTTTAGTTAAACTAATAAACACCATAATGAAGGCAAAGACAAAGAATAAAATAATAATAATATAATAAAGAATTACCCGTTTAAAGACACGTGAGTGTTTGTCTTGATAAAATAAAAGGAATAATGTATATTCAATAAATCCCATTATTACAAGTGAGACAAACTGAAAATATGAAAGAAGTGGAGGAAGACATTTTGATAAACCAATATCAGAACAACTTTCCATAAAAGGAAAATTTAAAATAGTTGAGTTTGTTGTAGCAAATATTTGATTACAAACCATTAAGAAAAGATAAGTTGGTGATAAACCTTCACTTGTCTTTCTTCTAATAATCTTAATAATTTGAGGAAGAATAGAGACTGTAGTAAATATAAGAATTAAACTTCCAATGATAATTTCGAATGTAGATAATTCAGGGATATACCAATACTCATCTGAGCCACTATGCTCTGTATCACAAGCATCTATACCACTAGAAATAACAAAAGGAATACAAAAAGTAATTAAAATGAAGTAATACTTCATTTGAATTAAACAAGAAAATAATAACTACAATTATTTTTTTATAACAAAACAAATAAACTATAAGTTATAATAACAAAAACTAAAAAACTTGAAGAAAATGAAATTAAACGATTTAATTGGCAATATCCAAATAATCTCTGATTTCTGATGGAGTTAATACTTTAAACCCATTTTCTTTTGTACAAAGTCCAATTTCAATATTATGTTCATTCATTTCTCCTTCAAATCCCTCTTTTAATGCTAAAATAGCAGTATGAATAGCATCTTCTAACTCAATATCATCGTGATATCGCTTTTCTAAGAATGTCTTAACTGATGTCATATTCTTTCCAAGTGCTGTTGCTTTCCAAGTCCAAAATGATCCACTTGGATCAACTTGATATAAACGTGGTGTTTTACCATCAAATCCTGCAACTAACACACTGACTCCAAATGGTCTAACACCTCCTTTTTGAGTATATTCTTGCATTAAATATGCTAACTTTCTTGTCATCATTGAACAATTTATATCTTCTTGATATTCTAACCAATACTTTTGTCCTTCTTTTCTTCCTTTTTTTACTAATACTCGAGCGTCAGGTCCCATTCCACTACTTACCATTCCAACACTATCACATAAATGATTAATTTTTTGTATTGACTCACTTATATACATTGGTGGTAATGACTTTTCTACTGCTAATACAATTCCATCTTTAGCTTTAATACCGACACTAGTTGAACCAGCAGAAATAGCATTAAGTGCATATTCGATTTGAACTAATTTTCCGCTGGGACTGAATGTTGTTAATGAAAATCCATAATCATCTTCTCCTCCTTCCATTGTTAATTTGTTTGACTTTTTATAATTCTCTTTTTTTAAGTTCATTTTATTATTTTTATTATTTATTTTATTATTTATTTAATTCTCTAATACTTCAACACAACCAGAAGAAAAACAAATTCTTAAAAAATTAAATAACACAAAAATTTAGAAATATAACAAATAAACTGTGAATTGTTAGTTGGGAGTTAAATTTCCTTTTCTGAAAAAATGGAATAATTTGCTTAAACAACAACACATCCTTCTTTGCTTGTTTTTTCCTTTTCTTCAGCTCTTCCACGAACAACGTCAATTGCTACTTTAAAAGTTTCTTTTACATTAGATCCTGTTTTAGCACTACATTCACAAAAAGCAGCAGCACCAATCTTTGTTTTCAATTCTTCTCCCTTTGCAGTTGAGATACAATCTGTACTTTTGTCTTTTCTTCGATCACTTTTTGTAGCAACAAGTACAACCTTTGCTTCTTTACAGAAGTGAGTTACTTCTGAAATCCACTACTTATAAACAATTGTTTTTTCAATTAAGAAGCAAGAAAAAATGCAATGCATAAATAATAATAAGCAAATCAGAAGAAATAAAAAATAAACAAACTTTAACTTCTATATTCTCAAATGAATTTTGGTCATCAACAGCATAACAAATGAGAAAAACATCTGTATCGGGATAAGCCCTATTACGAATTCTATCAAAATCTTCTTGTCCAGCAGTGTCCCACATTTGTAAATTAATATGACCTTTCTTATATGATACTTGTTCGACAAAATTTTCAAATACAGTTGGTACATAGTCTTCAGGGAAAGTATTTAAACGGTATCGAGTTAATAAACATGTTTTTCCTACAGCACCATCACCAACAATGACTAATTTCATACTATTTTGCTATAGATGTTAACTAAGTTAATCACTTTTTTTTGTACAATATATATACTTACAAACTTGCTCCTCCATTTCTTCTTTTTAAGATATAGAATTTTTGTTTCTAATCTCTTTTTTCTTTTTTCTTTAATTTTCCCTTAAAACACAAAAAATAAAATTTGTGATTTAAATAAACCCTCAACAAGTTTTAAATAGATGTGAAATGAATTATTTTGAAATAGAAAGAAACCCTAAAATTTAAATATTCATATCATTTGATTGGGGCATAGGAATGGACAGAAATTCACGAAAAGCACGAAAAGCAAATAGAGTTGATATGAGTAAACACTTTGTTAACAGCAAAAAGACATTAACAACACCAATTGAAGTTAAAGAAGATGAAGAAAATAATGATGAATTAATGGAGGAGCTTGAAGATGAATTTGATGCTGAAGTTGAACCTGAAGAAGAGGGAGAAGAAGAGATTGTACAAAATGAGGAAAAAGAAACAAAAATGGATGATGGCATTGAAGAAACGGATTTAGGAGACATAAAAGGATTTGAAAAAGATGTTATTGAAGACCCAGAAGATAACGTAAAAGTTGAAACTGAAGTATATATTCCTAATCAAACTAATCCTCAAACAGAAAATGCTATGGAAGAGGAAAATGTTGAATTAGAAGTTTCTGGTGGAGCTTACAAAATGCTTCATGAGTTAAGTCTTGAATGGAGTTGTTTATCCTTTGATATTATTCCAGATACATTAGGTGCTTTAAGAACTACTGCTCCATATACTTTATACTTTGCTGCTGGAACAAATGCAGCTTCTGGAAAAAAGAATAAAGTATATACTGTCAAGGCTGAAGGAATGTGTATCACTCACCAAGATGAAGAAGATGATGATGACAGTGAAAATGCTGATCCTCTAAAACCAAAGATAGAAGAGGATCTTGATTATACTGATCCAATATTAACTACTTCTAGTGCTTTAATTCCTTGTGGAATTAATCGATGTAGAACAATGAAACAAAGACCTGGAATTGTTGGACTTTGGGGAGAGGATGGAAATGTTTATATTTATGATATGTCATCCCATATTAAAGGTGTTGATGGTGGAATAGTATCAAGTGGAAATGAATTAAAATCAACTTTACATCATAGATGTGAAGGGTTTGCATTAGATTGGTCACCTGTTGTTGAAGGAAGATTAATTACAGGAACATTAAATGGTAGAATTATGTTATGGGAAGAAAGAGGAGGAGAATGGAGAGGAAGTCCTGAGAGTTATATGGGTCATAAGAGTAGTGTTGAAGATCTTCAATGGTCACCAAAAGAAGCTGATGTATTTTTGAGTTGTTCTGTTGACCACACGATTAGGTTGTGGGATGCTAGAACAAAGAAACAGTGTGTTAAAAGTATTATTGCACATAATTGTGATGTTAATGTAGTCAATTGGAATAAAATTAACCCCTTTTATATTGTTTCTGGTGGGGATGATGGAGAGCTTAAAGTTTGGGACTTTAGACAATTTGATTTTCCTTATGCCACATTTAATTGGCATAAAAAAGCAATCACTAGTGTTGAATGGTGTCCACATGATGAAAGTTCATTTTTGGCATCAAGTGAAGATGACTCAATTAGTTTCTGGGATATATCAATGGAAGCTGATAGAGAAGTTGCTGAAGAATATCATATTCAAGAAATTGAACAAATTCCACCACAGTTGATGTTCCTTCATCAAGGGCAAAAAGGAATCAAAGAAGCACATTGGCATGAACAAATACAAGGAGTTGTTGTATCAACTGCATGGGATGGAATGAATATTTTCCAACCATGTAATTTCTAATTCCCTTTTATAATAATTGAATGACTTTGTGAAACAATACAATAAGTATCAAATACTTTTTAATATAAAATTATTGATGTATCTTATTTATTTACAAAGGATAAAAAGAAATGATTAATAAATTATTCAATTTCCAAAGACAATATCGATTTGTTCTTTAGATGCTTTTGATTTAAATTCATTGCATAATATATCAGCATCCCAGATTAATTGATAGTCAAATACATTTGTTAGTGTTAATGTGAATTGCATCATAATATCAAAATCTAAGTCTTGAGTTAAAATAAATTCACGGTGCATACTTAGTATTGCAGCCATAACAAATAAAAACATTTTATCTTCTGGTTTTGCAAGAATAAAATCCCATACCCTCTTAATGTCTTGTGGATTTAATTCACGCTTAAATAATAAAGCAATACTTCTCCAACAAAACATATAATCAACTTGAGCTTTACTAAAGGCATCTGCTATCTCTTTATCAAGAACTTGAATAATTACTTGAAGTTTATTAAGACTTGCTGATGCGTTTGTTTGAATAAGATAAAATGGTCTTATCAGTTTCATCATTAAATAAAAAATGATAAATGACTCTAATTCATTTTTACTATATTCCATACATAATGCACAAATTTCATTCATCCCTTGCACATACATTGTTTCCATATCATATATCCCATAACACATTAATATTCTTTTTAGTGCCTCTACAGGTTTATCTGTCCATTGAACATTGTTTAATACAGTTCTATTTAAATCTTTTTCAATTTGTGTTTCAATTGAATCAATATCTTTCCATCTTTTCTTTTGTTCAGGAAAGAAAGAATTCCATTGTAATTGAAGTGTTTCATATTTCTTTTTCCAAAGACTTAATACATCATTTTTTTTTGAATAGTCTTTCATTTCTCCTTCACAAATCATCCAAGCAATACACCTTGATTCATCATCACATCCAACATATTTAACAGCATTTTTAACTTCATTCATTTGATTATGTACTTCAATATATTTAATACTACAAGAAGAAATATCTAATGTATGACTGTTCATCCATTGTTTTCTTGAAGTAATTCTAATTGGGTCTTCATTAACTTTTTTAGTATATAAACAAATCATAGACATAGATTTTCTAAATGATTCATTATTACATAATTTAGTTTCAACTTTATAATATCCTTCTTTTTCATCTCCTTTATCAAGAATTAATTTAATTCCTTTTTTACTTATACTTTTCAACATAACTTCAATACCTTCGCTTGATTCAAATTGATATGTAGGAATACTAAATGGTAAAACACTGCTAAATTCGAATGAAACTTCATAAATCATTTGTGACATTAACAATGAACTTTTTCTTGTTTGTTTATATTTAATACCAATACAATCTCTAAAACAAAAATCTACTTTATATTCATTAATATCATTTACTGGGTTTTGCCAATGTCTTGATAAAAGATCAAATATTGACTCCATTTTAATTGGAATAAAATCAAAATATACAAATCCATTTAACTATTTAATTGAGTTTTATGTTTATTCTTTCTTTTATTTAATTTATATTGTCAATAACAAACTGATGTTAAATTAATTACTCCTTTGACCATCCATTGATCATTAACTTTAACACGAACATCTTGAATAAATCCTAATACTTCTGTCTTACTATTCATATGATGTGTATGTTTTACACTAAGTACAATTCCACTTGGTATTTGTGTAGATCCGTTAGGTTGTGTAGATTCATCAAAAGAATTATCTTGATTTTTAGATGTACGAATTGCTTGACGAGGTTTATAGTCTATTTTCTTTTCTTCAATTTCTTCTGTTTTTGTGTTTCCAGTAATTAAAACAATATCTTTTGTAGTTTGTTTTCCATGATCTTTTGTATTGTTATTATCATGACTATTTTCTTTATCAACTCCTTTCTTTCCAGGAGTTGTTGGAGTTGAATTGCTAATGTCTTCTTTACTTTTAGATTTTGTCTTTGAAACAATTTGAAGTAATGATGGTGATTTTCTTCCACTTTTATCTTCTTCAACAAGAATTGGAAAATGCCCTTTATTATTTTGTTCTTTTTTTAATGTTTTAACTCGATTTTGTGGTAATGGTTTTGCAAATTTGCGTTGTTCTATCAACGGACGTTCATCACTCATTTTCTTTAAATTTCCAAGTTTTATATTTTTTTATTTAATTTTTTTATTTTAGAATTTATTTTCGATTGAGGGAATAGAACAAATTTTGTTGATCGTTGTTTTACTTAATATTATTATAACAACTGAATGATGGAAAGAATAACCCGTAAAGTAAAGAATCAATAAGACATTAACTAATTAATTGATTATTATTTTTGAAGCTGTTTCAAAAAAAAAATACTAAATAGATGACATAAATAATTCAATACCATAGAGTAAGAATGGTTGATGTATTAGTATTAAATCTATAAACTGTAAAGATGAGAAAGAAAAAGAAAGGAGTATCCTAAAAGATAAAAAAATACAGAACAAAATTTACATTATCAAAAAGTACTTTATTGTTATTCTTTCACTGAAGAAGTTAATACTACCCATATGTGTTTTATTGAATAAAAATAAATAAATTAAAGTTTTAGTAGATATTATTTTTTACTTCAATTTGTTCAGGTGAGTTTATTTCATTCATTATCTTCAGATTATTGTTCATGACATACTTCTATGTCTATATTTTACCACAATTATTTCATTAGATATTTCATTCTTATTTCATGTTCTTATTCATTATATTTTTCAAAATTATTTTATATTGAATTATAATGTTTTGTTCTTTCATCATTCTTTGTTGACTAATCCGTTTATTATCATTATTAATGTAATTTTATTAAATTGTCTTATTTTTTCTTGGAATATTTTGTCGATTTCAAGTTTATTAGTAAACATCAGAACTATCTTTTTTTATCATTTACATTTATATTTATCATTTGTTTTATTTTCTATATAAATGTCTAGTCTTTTATGAAGTATTCAATTTTATTGACTATTTATTGTTTCAATAAATTGAATATTTCATTATTTTTTTATTCTTCTTTTGAATATACTAATTTCATTTTTATTGAATATTTATTTCATTTTATTCTCTCTTGTTTTATTCTCTATCATTTATTCATCATATTTATTTTATATTTCAATTGAGTTATTCTTATAATATATTTTTTTATTAATTCATGTCTAATTTATTTTTTCATATTTACAATATTATTTATTATTATATGTTCAAATGTTGTTATCATGTCATTACAAATATTGCAAAATTTCATTTATCATTTAATGTGTTTATTAATTTCATACAAATATACCATTTTCTTTCATTAAATTCATTGTTTATATTCATTTCTTTTTATATTAATATTAATCATTAATTATTCTTTTTTTACTTTGATATGTTATTATATTAATTTTCTTTATTCATTCTCTTTATAATGAAATAAATAAATGAAATGACTGAAATAAATGATTAAACTTTCATTTTATGTTATTTCTCTTTTACTATTATTACTTTTCTTTTTGTTTAATAAAAACAACACATCGAGTGTGAATACTTTTATTTCGTTTCAATTCCTGTGATTTATTTTGATGTGAAATATTATGGATATTCTTTTCCGCAAAGTGTATCTGATATTCATTTATATGAAAATGAATGTTGAAAATAATATGATTATGTTTTATATTTTTCTTTATAAACATCGGTATCACTACATTTAAATTTAAACAAATAATCATTTGTTTGATTATATAGTTTAAATGTATATTGTAATTTAATATCAATTTTCATCATTCTTTTCATTCTTCCTTTTGATTCTAATAAAAATACAAATGATTTTGAGTGATTTATATAACTACGAATTTCATTAATTTTAAAATTAACATATCTCCAATTTTTATTTCATTCAGAATATTCATTATTAATTATAATATGTATGTTATTCTTTATTTTTTGACAAAATACTGATGTATTTTTTCAATTCATCATTATTTCAATCAATTATTTCATTTTCTATTTTTCTATTTGTCTTTTCTTCTATTTTGTTGATTTGATTGATTTGTATGATATTCATCTTATTGTTCATAATATCTACTCTCTAATTAATCATTATATTGTATTTCACTTTCATCTTTATTCTTCTTAAATTTTGGTTTAGTTTTATTAATTTCTTCATCTAATTTCATGATTTTATCTTCCATATTCATTTCTTCAATATAAATGATTTTCTCTAATAAGTTATTCTTTGTTTTTTGAAGTGAGTCAACATCATTAGATTCTATTATGATTCTTTCCATTTTATTCAATACAGACATTATTTTGTTGAATGTTTCTTGTCATTTCTATCATTAATCTTTCTTCTGATTATTTAATCCATCATAACAACTATTCAATTTCCTCATTTAATAGTTTATTCATATATTTCATTCCCTTTTATTTCATAAACATTAATACAAACTAAATAAGAATGATAAATGTTAGTAAATTCAACGAATGAATGATGAATAATTTGAAGTTTTTCTACTACTTCTTTAAATCAATTTAAATCCTGTTTATTAACTCTTCCAAATTAATTTCAAATGATTAACAAAAATAATGAGTGTTTAATAGTTAAATATATGTTAATAACACAAGAACCAATGAAGAATTTGTCAAGATTCTACTTTAACAAACAATAATTTTAATAATTTACAAACAACTAATTCAATATAATAATGATAAATGTTTATAAATTTAACATAAAATAAATGATGTATTATACGATTCAATTCAACATTTCTTAACAACTTATTTGACAATTTGAATAATTAACTCAATCTAAACATTCATTTATTAATCTATTCATTGTTTCTTTTTTTCTTTTCTTTCCATATTTCTATTTCATTATATCATTCTTTTTCAATTTACTTCATATTTCATATTTACATTATCTTATCAAACACATTCTATTTATTCTGTTTTACATTCAATTTCATATCTTATTTCACTTTTATTCACATTTTCAAAGTATTTTATTTATACAACATATTTTAATTTTTAGTCAAACTGACACAGCATCTCTTGTTTGTTCAAGAATAAATAATTCTTCATTTCTTTACACGAACAATGATAATACTCAATATCCATGATACTAAACAATGTTATATTCTTTATATTGAAAAATATACAAAAATCATTCAATTCAACGAGTGAAATGAAGAGAAATAAGTTAAAGAAATACAGATAAAGAAAATATAGAAATTGAAATAACAAAAAATGGGTTATTATTAAATTATAGAAAAATAAATTATAATTGAATTATATTATATAGAATATGATAATAGTAAATAAATAGTTTGTTATTAATTAATTGGTTGTATATTAAACCACAAAACTTATATTTTTCATTCTATGCAAAACAACCAAGGGTTAATTCTCTAAATAAACTCTGTTTTATGTTTGCAAGAGTAAAACCTTGATTTTCTCACACCTCTATAGAAGAGAATGTGTAGTTCAAACCTGGGACATTTATTATTTGATTGAACGTCATTTTTTATCATTTTCCTTTTTTTATTGAGAAGAAATGTAGAATTGAAATAATGTTTTTCATAATTAAATTATTCAAAATAATTTCTTGATTAGTTTTATTCTATTAAAAAAGACAATAATCAATTTGTTACATGTCTTTATTGAAAAGTCTCTTTCTATGTTAGTTCATGAATTATCATGGAAATTGGTTAGAATATCTTGTATAAGAAAAGTGATGGAAGGGATGAAAGTAAGTAAGAATGATTGTGTGTGGTAGATTACAAAGACAGATGTCATTGAATCTGAATAACACCAGCCACATCGGGTGGGGGAAAGGAAAATTAAGAAATATCCGAACAGAAAAACAATTTAGTGATTTATGAATCTACATTGTTATTAACTTTTTATTTCTATCGTTTTCTCCGTGGTGATCGTTCACGTCTTCTAGACCTGGATCTTCGACTATGTTCTGTTCGACTCTCATGCTCCCTTCTTTTATGTTCATCACGTTCTCTTCTACTTTCTCTATCTCTACTTTCTTTATCTCTGCGTTCTCGGTCTCTACTTTCTCTTTTACTCTCTTTATCTCGGCTTTCTCTCTTCTCACTCTGACGTGTTTTTCTTTCTTCATGCTTGTCATTCCCTCGTTCTCGGCGTTCTTCTTTTTTTGGCTCTTCTTTGCTTTCCTCGATTTTTGGTTCATTTTTTATTTTGTTCTTTGGTTCTAAATCCATGATTGCTTGCTTTGTTTTGACTGTGGTATCTACTGTTGTGATTTCTTTCTCTGCTAAGGAGTTTTTGTACAACTCTCTCAGTTTCTTTGCATATGCAGACCACGTCTTTTCATTAAACCCATAGTTGAAATATTCTTCGAGGTTTGCTCCTTCTGTCTCCCATGGTTTGTCTTCTGGTGCAAGTGTTTCAAATCCTTTTTCCCCTGTGAAAACTTCCCAATATCTGTTGAAGTCTTCATCCGCAACAAAGTGTGAGAAGTTAAATAGAAGGAGTTGGTAAAATCTATAACTTTCATCAGACGGTGTTTGTGGTTTTTGTGGTGTGTTTTGTTGCATTACTTCTTTTCAGATTTTTTCTTTTCAACTCAAGTTAGAATGAAGATATTATGAATCACTTTTAACCAACTTTTGTCATCTTTGTCACTCATTATAAAAGGTATTTTCCTCTTTATTTCTAGTATTTATCATTGAGCATGTTTTATTTGCAGTGATGTTTTTGTTATTTAACTTTTGTTTTTTGATGTTCTATCAACAAAAGAAATACTCGTCAAAATATTGAATTGTTGAGTGCAATATTACACAGTCAATGAAACAAGAAGAGAATTTCTTTTCATATTGGGAGTGATGAATATCCTGGAAAATGAGCAAAGACAAAACCAGAAGAATGAGGAATAGATGTTTTTTTTTGATAAATAAACAGTTAGAAAATAATCATCAACCATCAAATAAATGATGGTTTTAGTATATCTGAATACAATAGTTTGACATTGAGAAGGTTAGAATGTGTAGATATAATTTATAAGAAATTGTTATTCAATACATTAGTATTGTTGATTCATTTTAATGACTGAGTTTTATACACTAGACTATGTCAGCACAATTTCACAACATTCTATGTAAATAAATTTGAGGTATTTTCTGATGAATTGAATAGGTGGTTTGGTATTTCAACAAAGGATATGATTGAACTTGAGAAAATAGACTAACAATTGACAATAACAAGAGAGATAAATGAAAAACACATGTTATGAATGATATTGAAAATACAAACAACTCATAAATTATGTGAAATTGGTATTTTCAACAAAAGAAATGAATGAATAGTATGATGTTAATAAAAATAATATATTAGTTGTTTATTTTACTTGATTCTAATAATTATTCATTTCATGTAAATGTCAATTTTATTATATATGGATTTTGTTATGTTTTAAATACATAACTACAATTATTAATGAAAAAAAATTTTCTTTTACTTCATCAAGTATTATTCTTTCATTATAAATAAAAGATAGTTAATAAAAGTCATTTCATTTAAACTACAATTATTCAACTTAATGAAAAATTGATTATTCATTTCTGTTTAAATGAATATTGTTAACAATATGATTGTGTTTCATCATTTTTTATAAACAACAAACATCATCATTTCAAATTCAAATAATGTCTTGAGTGATTAAATAAATTTGTTTATTGTTTAATATCAATTTTCATTCTTCATTTTAACTTTAATGAAAATACAAATGATTTTTAACCATTTATATCCAACAGTAATTATCAATTTTAGAATTAATATATCCTTCATTTTTATTTCCTTCTTTATCTTCAATGATACTTATTATATTTTTGTTATTCATTATTCTTTGTTTAAACGTTGATATATTTTTATTCCAATCATCATTGTCTGAATTAAATAATATATTAGTTATTATTTTTCTATCAATTCTTATATTTTCTAAGAGAGAATATAAACAATGCATTAAAATTGCCAATGAGTAATTTCAAAACACGATAGTGAGTTATTGAATAAAGAAAAGTCTATTTGAATTTTGTTCTGACTCAATAAAACTAATAAAAAACAATCAATTAAATACTAATAGTGATGGTTTCGATTGTTAATTGATAAAATGAAACTCATTGTCTTTTCCTAGTAACTCTAGAGAGTATTGTTGTTATGACGGAGTCACTGTTTAATTACATTCATCATATTTTTAATGTCATTTTTCATTTTTTATTTCTTTAATTAATTTAATATTTTCTGTATTTATTATTCTCTCTTATTCTCTATTTTCTTTATTCTATTCTTTATTTTCTTTTATTTATTTCTTTTCATTGCTGTTTTGATATGAAATATTAATCATATCATTTCTTATAATAGTTTTATTCTTTTTATCTATTACTTAAATTTTATCTTTGTTTTTCTTTTATTGAATTTATACTGTGTCAATGAGTATTTCTAATCAATTATTTTCATTATACTTAAATTTAATTCATTTATTGTTATTATGACACTATCATAATTGATATATCTTTTATTAATTGTGGTGATTTGTTTTATTTTCCAATTTATCTTTATTTAATATCACCTGTGTTTCATATAACATTTCAAATATTCTAAAGTAATATCGTTATTTGGGTATATTTCGTTTTTTGGGTCTTTCTTCCTTATTCTAATTTTCTTGTTAGAATCAAACATGATTTTATTTGTATTGATTCTGATTATTGCATTTTTATTAAATTTAATTCTTTCTTTGATCATTGTCATCATATATTTTAGGTATTTTATTCTTTCTATTGCTTTAACTTTAATTCCTTCTTCATCATTTTCTTTTAATTTCATGATGCACTTGATTCTGTACAATTTTCTTCCCTTGACCAAATCTTCTAGTCTATTAATTTTCTTTAGGATTTCTTTTATTTCATCAAATTTATCTCTTATTATTTTATTTTGGAGATAGAGGTTCATAATCATTGAAATCCTCTTCATATCATCTTGCAGATCCTGCATTCTGCTTCATGAAAATACCATCTATTATTAATTTCCATTATTAATTAGTCAGTTTCTTTTCTTTTCCAGTAGTAATTAATGTTTGAACATTTTTCTACTTTCATTTCTTTTATTTTATTGATGAGAGTGTTAAGGTATTCTTCATCAATTTCTGTAGAGTTATTCTTTAATATGATGTTTTTATTATTGAATTACACTCTACTCTTCTATTATATCATTTACTTTCATTTTAATGTATTGTTTAGTGCTTTCTTTTATTTTATGTGACATTTTAATATATTTAATATATTCTTTTTCATTATTTACATTAATGTTTATTACTTTTATTATACTTTCTATTTGTTCCCATCTTAATTTCTTATATAATTTCTTATTCAACCAATTAATTGCAAAACAATACAACACTTCAATTAAATTTCTATTTCTTTCTTTTGTATTATTTCTTCTTGTATTTTCATTATGTTTTGTTTATTATTTTTTATTCTTGCAATTTTACATCTTTCTTTCATTTCTTTATTTGTGTTTTTGTTTTTAATTTCTTCTTCATTTGTTTTAATGTCTTTTTCTTTTTGGTTGAATATACTTCTTGTTGAATATAATACCATCTTTTCCTTTTACCTTCTTACTTCTTATGTATTTCTTCATACTCTCATTTATTCCATTCACTTGTTATTCTTTCTATTCTTTCTTGTATATCACTTGTTGTTATTCATTTATATTTGTTATTTGTATAATCTTTATTATTATATTTATGTTGTTTCTTATTTGTTTTTATTTGTGTCTTTCGTCTTCTAAACCATTTTTCCTTGGTATTTCATTTACCTTTATTATTATTGTTGTTATGCCATTTATTGCTATTGACATTTCTTTTTTATTGATGAAATTGGATTTTTATATCTTGTTTGATTTTCTTTACAACAGACATTGATATAACACAATAACCATCGCAATAAAATTTGATGTATTTCCTGCATTGGATAAGTATCTTAAAAAAGAAAGAATTAGAGGTAAAAATGAAATAGTCTAATAGAACATTTCTATAACAAATATACTCATTAAAAACAACCAATAACAATGATATGAATAACATCCACGAGAAAAAAAATGAACATTAGAAGATAATTCTATCAATGTATAATTAAATACTCTTATTTTCGTTGTATTGAATAATTTTCTATTTTTACTAGATTATAGTCAAATAGCCTTGAATAACTAACTACTTTGAAACTTTTTAAGAAATATTATTTAATTTTTAAATCATATGAGAATTGAAAATAATGAAACGAGATAAAAATTGAAGTGTTAATTTATATGAGAATTAGTCTGTTTGTGTATTTATATATGACTACTAATTTAATATGACAACACTTCATTATTATAGTAATAAAAGAAATTAAAATTGAAATAACACAACAAATAATTACTTTATAATAATATCAGAGTAGAATATAAGACTAATACATATTTAATTCAATTTACTTTATAATTCAAATAATATTGTTTTGATAAGAAACTCAAAAGAAGATAAAATATGTCAAGAATGAAATTGTGTCATCTTAGTTATTCATCATTCATATTATTAGATAGTTCTAAATTGTCGACACTCTAATAAACCATTATATGAGTTTCATTCAATTAATAAAATATATTACAGAATATTTCATTGAACATTATTCCTTTGAAATAACTTAAATTAAAATAAAAAGTTATGTTATTTAAACACACTTAATAGAAATTAAAATGAATTAATAAAAACAAGTTAATTAGTGTCAAAATACTCATAAGTAATTGGGATATTAGTGACTGTTTTGACATACTCAATGAACTTCTTGTAATGAGAAGAAGTTAGATGAGTTTCAAATTGGTTTTTGTTTTCCCATCTTTGAATAACCAAATAATGTGTTGTGTTTGTAGGTTCTTGACAAACAAAATAAGATTTACATCCTTTCTCTTTTCTACTGTTGTTTTGAAGTTCAAGGATTTTAGCAAATAATTCACGATCTTCGTGCATATGAATGTGACATTGAACAAGATATTGCATTTGTTTTTCTTTAGTGATTACTAAGTTTTGCTTCGTCTTTAAATACCCACTTCTTCCCCAAATCCTTCGAACGACATTTCTCCCTTCAACCATATCTCATTCGAAAATAATTCCTTCATTACGAAAAACCTATACTTCAACTGAATTATATCAATTTCGTATTTAAGTATAATTCAGTCTAAATTCTATAGTTCAACACATCATTGGATATTCTTAAATGATGAGAATAATATTGAAACATTATTTATTGAATTTTTGTTGAATTTCTATTTTTGTATTTTCTAAAAATATAATTTCATTCAAAATTCAAATTAATGATATTTTGTTGAAATAATATTTTGTTATAGAAAACATAAAAAGTTGAGATAAAACTTAAAAACATTCAACGAAAGAAATACAATTAAATTAACTCACATAATAGTTAGAAAAGCTTAATACTGTTGTTCAGCAAGAATGAAGATATACCTAATTATGAATTCTCTAATTTGAAATAAAATTTAGTTTATT